ACCTTCTTTTTTTTTTTTGAGTTATAATTTCACGACTACATTTTCTTTGCTCTATCTTTGTAGTTGTATTTTGTGTTGATGAATCCTATGTTAAGGCAGAGGTGGTGATTTATACGTGGGTCACTGCAGCCCTCAAAACCTGGGCCAGGAAATTTTCATAGGTCAGTAATTATACCATTTTTTTTGGATCTCTGATAAAGACAAAAAAAAAAGGAATAATGTGAAATACAAACAATGCCTGTATATGAACTGTCACATGTTAAAATATGTAAGCTTTTTATAGAGCCTCAGTCTTGCTGATTTCAAACAAATTTTTCTTCTATGTATCGCTTTTAAGAGAGCTATCAGTTTAGCTATCAGACTCTAGGTTGATGCATTTTTGTACTTAGCTGTACTGTGTGATATTTTTCATTATTTTAGGAAGCCAACATGGGAAAAAAAAAATAAAAATACTGTTATAAAATATGTAATGGGGTTTGAAAGCTGGGAAGGAGAATATACTGCTGTACAGCTAATAAATAATAATGGATTAACACGTGTGGCTGCTTTCTTTGTGTGTGGTGACGCTGGGACCTGGCAGGGGTCTTCATCCTCCTGGAAGGATGCTTCGGGCTTGGAAATGGGGACCAGCTCTTATCTGGTGATGGGATTGCCCGGTGATGAATGTCAGGTGTGATGCTACATGGTGGTGTGCTGCCCTGTGGTGGCTGCAGATGAGTGGGCTCATTAGCAAGGGTGGTTAGTGTGGTGCAGGGTCCCCATTTCCATCCGGTAGCTCCCTGGTGTAGTGAGGTGGAAGCTCCTGGGGCTGTGAGGAGGAGCGTGCAGCAGGAGGGGATGATGTGATGAACGTCAACCTTGAGCTGGAAGCGATGGAGGAGCAGTGGCTGCTTTTGTTCCTTTTGGTTGTGAGTTGCGATGATCACAGCAGATGGTTTAGGTGGCAGGAATATTAGTTCTGGGAAGTGAGACTGACCTTTAGGTGGAGTTGCTGTGGTGTGTCTTCTCCTTGCTACCTGTGGAAGCAGCTCGGAGAGTCAACTAGTAGTTGGCAGTCAGGTAGGTGCGCGCTGGGCAAGTTCAGGAGAACCTCTCCCACAGCTGACTTCAGAGCAGGAGTCGCTGCAAATGGCACAATAAATAGTTGAAATCTTGAAGAGCACGAGAGCTGCTAGGCTTGTGATTGTCACTAGATGTTTGGCAACTGGTTATTTCTGGTCCTGGGAGATGGTCCTTAGACTTGCCAAGAGAAGCTGTCTGGTGGTGGGGTGCCCGGAACCCTTGAGCAGGATGGAGGCGAGGGTGGCTTCTGTGAGGTCTGGCTGCAGAAGTGGATGAATCTTCAAGTGCTTTCTCAGTTGAAAATGGAGCTTGTGTACTCACAAGTCCAAAGATGCTCCAGACAGAGGGGGTGCTCTGAAGGAGACATGATTTTGCTTAAGCCCAGAGCTGGGGAGGCTTTGTGGTGGTCTGACGGTGGAGAACTTTGTGGAGGACTGATGGTGTCCTTGGGACCTGTAAGGAGTTACTACCATCATCTCTTAAAACCTCTCTCTGGCTCAACCCACTGCTGACAAGTGGGGCGTGAAAGGTCTTGAGTGGTTTTAACTGGTGACCTGTGGTGGTGCGCCGAGGAGGCATCATGCATCCTCTAGCGGAGGCCTCCCTTGGTCTGCTGCAAAACCTCCACGTGCAGGTGCTGGTGTCCTTGTACTCAGGCCAGAGTGACCCCAGGGGATGTGTTAAATTCTAGAGTTCGTTGAGCTGGAGAAAAAGGCTGTGGTGGGGTAGCTTGTTGGTGGGCTGAAAGGGAGAAGAGCCCCAAGAGGTGTCTTGGACAAAGGTATGGTTGCTCCCAAGTAGTCTTTGATCTGCTGGTGGTGTGCTGTGTTCCTTGGCAGTCACAGCAGGCCTGGGGAGATGAGGCTGATCTCCAAGGGACCATTGGTGGCTTGCGTTGTGCTTATCTGAGGAAACCATTTCTAAGCACCATCATTTAATTAATGTTACAGATCACACGTGGTGTTCTTGGCGTGTAGAGTGGTCATTTATCATGGGCTGCTTCTTGAATCTTCCTCCAGAGGAAGGTTTTAGTGGGGGTGGGAGCGGTCACTGTGTGGCCATCCTCCTCTTTTCCTCAGCCCACTGTCTGACTTTGTGGTCTGCTCAGTTGACCACAGTTTCTTCCAGCTTGCTCGGTCAATAACCCTGTTACGCAGCTGGGTTTTCATTTGATCAGAGCTGGAGCAGGTCTCTCTGCTTCTCTGACTTCTCTTTGCAGGCTTCTGGTTTGCCCTTGATAGAGCCACCTGGGAGAGATGCAGATCAAGGTCCCAACCTGCTCCTGAGGATGTGCATCCAGAGCAGCATCTCATGCCTGAATGTGGACCAAACATCCCTGCCCAACCCCAGTGTTGGAGAAGCTCAGCCCCATGTCCCAGACCGTGGGTGAAAAGCCAAGGCTGGATCCAAGGAGCATCACTGCCTCAGCCGATTGCTTGGGCTACTGTCCTGAGGGCATGCTGGAGAATGTCCTCATGGATGGAGAGGGGCTGAGACCGGCTCTATGTGACTGCTGCTTATTTGGCTTCTGGAGGTTGAGAGCTCCCTCAGGTTAGAGGGACTGAGAGAGTTGGGGGGGGGGTCAGCCTGGAGAAGAGAAGGCTCCGGGGAGACCTTCCAGCCCCTTCCAGTCCCTCGAGGGGCTCCAGGAAAGCTGGGGAGGGACTCTGGATCAGGGAGGGGAGCCCTAGGAGGAGGGGGAAGGGTTTGACCCTGCAAGAGGGGAGATGGAGCTGAGCTGTGGGGAAGAACTTGTTTGGTGGGAGGGTGGGGAGAGCCTGGCCCAGGTTGGCCAGAGAAGTTGTGGCTGCCCCATCCCTGGAGGGGTTCAAGGGCAGGTTGGAGGGGGCTTGGAGCAACCTGGTGTGGTGGGAGGTGTCCCTGCCCAGGGCAGGGGGTGGCACTGGGTGGGCTTTAAGGTCCCTTCCAACCCAAACTGTTCTGTGAGTGCTCTTACATTACTAAGTGAGGGTCCAAGCCCGCTTCTTCAGCCAAGGGTGTTGGACTGAAGTTTTGTTGGTTCAAGCCGTGGTGTCTTTTCTTCTGCCTCATTGGAGGAAGAACTCATGATCTTTTCTACTCTTTGTCTTTATGTTGCTGTAGCAGATGATTCTCCAGGTGACAAGAGGGCAAGTGTAGATCAGGGGCATCTCAGGGAGGCTGGGCCAAGGAGGCAGCTGTTGGTAGACCCTCTAAGAGGAGGAGGCCCCTTGCAGAGCCCTTAGTGTTTCCCAAATTGTCTCACTCCTGCAAGGTTGGTGGAAGGTGGGCAGAATCCAAACTGGTGCTGACATGACCGGGCTTGTGGACTGAACCATCCTACGCTGCCCTCAACTGGGCTGGTGGGAACGGGGCAGGAGCTGTGGTGGAGTTGCTGGTCTGAGCACATGTTCTCAGAGCAGACTGAAACATGAGGCAGGGCCCTGCAAAATCCAAGGAGGTCTTCAGCTTCAGCAGGAAGTCAGGCAGGTGGGGTAGGCAGCCAAGGGGGACAAGCAGGAAGGGGAAAAGGAAGCAGAGAAGCAGCAGCATGGGCGGACAGGCCACCCAGGAGGAGCTGACATCGTCTGAGTGTGCAGGGATGGAGTTGGCAGAGCCAAAGCTCAGCTGGAATTGGGCTTGGAGAAGCATGTGAAGGACAAAAAGAACAGCTTCTGTGTTAAGAATGGCTTCAGCATCAGCAGGAGACTTTGGAAAAACGCTCTTAATGGGGCAGAGGACTCAGTCGCAAAGGACATGGACAAGATGAAGGTACTTGGTCCTGCTCTTGCCTGGATTTCGACCCGTGACCTCTGTCTTCAGACATCCCAGGGCCCAAGGATCCCAGGCAACTGGCACCCTCCATCCCAACTGATGCTGGTCATGGGAACCCAAGCTGGTGCCTGAGACCAGCGCTACTGGCTCCCTCAGCACCTTCTCCTGAGTCTCTGGTAGGGTCAGCTGAGTCAACGCTGAGAATTGTTGGGTCCAGTGAAGTCCTGCAGCACTGCATGGGGCACAGGACAGCTTTCTGCTCCATCCTGAAGGACTTCTGGCTTTTTGCCTGGCCCAGAGCCTTCCCTGGGGAGCAGAGTTGTTGATATGCTCCCTCCTGTTGCTCCAAGGAGGCCACCTAACCTCTGCCTCTTGTCCTTGCTTTGGGGCAGCATTTTTGTCATTTTGGCATGACACCTGGGGCGTTTCTGCTCTGGAGAGGCCCTGCCTGCGACACCCTGCAGTGGCACTGGGTTCCCGTCCTCTGGAGGAGGACCCTGTGGTGAGCACCAGGTGCCCATCTTCATTAAGAGGGACGGGCATTGAGAGGTGGTGGAGTCTCCTTCTCTGGAGACATTCAAAACCCACCTGGACAAGTTCCTGTGCAACCTGCTCTAGGTAGACCTGCTCTGGCGGGGGAGGGTTGGACTAGATGATCTCCAGAGGTCCCTTCCAACCCCATATGATTCTATGATTAACTCCCCTTGCAGATGCTCGGTGCAAGGTGACGGGTTCTGGGCTGACCTCCCTGCACCAGGAAGGGTGAAGCTGCTCTTTTCACGCTCCCTGGCCATCTTCAGGCAGGAAACATGTCCCCATGAACCACCTCAGGGGGGGCTGCAAGGCAGGAAGGAGGTCGTGCACCCTCAACTCTTGAAGGTTGGAGCCATGGGGAGATGCTGCTTGCTCCTGGCTGGGAGAGGCACCGCTGGGGTGTCCCGCTGGCCTGGGTGAAGCCATGCGGGAGGAGAAGAGCCGGGCAGGGGGGTGTCCTCTCCTCCCGACGGGGGGACGGTGGGCCGCAGGCGCCGTCGCTTTCATTTCTCTTCTCTTGCTCAGGCGGTAAATCAGGCCTGACGGGGCAGGAAGAGGCACCGGGCGCCAGGGGAGGGGGAGGAGGCGCCGGCGCTGCCGGTTGGTAACCTCAGCGCTTCCTCTCAGCAGGGTGCCTTTCCCGCGGCGCCCGGGGATGCTGCCCTGACACCCTCATCAGCATCATCATCATCCCCCCTCCCCCCGGAAGGTGAACCCCCCAAACCCTGGTCCCAGCCATGGCTGCGTCCCCCACAGGGATCCCCGCCGAGCTCCAAGGTAAGCGTCGCCCGCTGCCGGGGCACCCATGCCACATGGAGAGCACCGGTGTGGGGCCTGCTCGGCCCCGCTTTGCCCTCCCAGAGTTGAACGGAGCCGCTTTCGGCTTCCTCCTCCTCATCATCATCATCCGCTGTGGGTCAGGGGGGTCTGAGCAGGGGTGGGGCACGAGGGGTTGCTCTTGCCCCCCCAAAACTCGTGTGCCTGAGGATGCTGCTGGGACCAAACGTATCCCCCCCCCCGGAGAACAAGCTGCATCCTCAAGGACGTGGTTCTTCGTGGTGGCTTCTGCTGCCCAGTTTGTGGGTGCTGTTCACTCGCAGGGGCTTGGGGTCCCCAGGGAGTCGCGGCCTGCAGCCCCCCACCGGTGTGGGGCACCACAGCCTTCCCTCATTTAATTGAGGAAGCAGAAGACCACAAGAGGTCTCAGGGTCCCACAGCCTCCCCAGCCTCACCGAGGCTTGTGGAGGGGTGGGAAGGAGATGGATGGGTCACTGCATGCCAGGATGGGTTCCTGGGAAGGTGTGGCTCGGGTCACCAGACCTGTGGGGCTCTCGACAGCCCCTACAAGGGCCAGGGCGAGCGGCGTCATCGCCAGCACCTGGTTTGCTTTGCCGGACGATGGGTGGTTGTGGTTCTTCTCCTGCTCGGCCGGGTGAGGAGGTGATGCTCAGGGCAGGAGCGATGCTCAGCCCTGGTCCGTGGTGACTGTGGGACTGACTGGTTTGCAAAGGCGGGGAGGTGGGTGTGCTTGTACAACCACCAGGGCACGTCACGGCCAAGAGAGCCACCAAAAAATTGCTAAAGCAGAATGCACCCCTGGCTGCAGCACAGGGAGACAGGGCTTGGGTGCCCAGTGGCTGCCCAGTGGAAAATTTGGGAAGGAAGGAAGGAAGGAAGGAAGGAAGGAAGAGAAGCTGGGATTGGGTGGTTGCTCGGAGGGATCAAGGCTGGGCTGAAGCTTGTGGAGTGTAAATTGGCCACCCCGAAGCCCTGTGCTCAGTGGAGGCTGCAGAAGCCGATGAGGAGATGGATTTATCACCCAAGCAGCAAATAAGTCTCAAAGCTGGTGAAGGAGTGCAAGGCTTGGCTGAGAGAGCAACCATTGGGTGTGGATGCTTGATTCAGGCAGGGACATAGGGGACAGTGTCCCCAAGGGCAGCAGGGCACGTGGGAGAGGTCCAGGGGTGGCTTTAGCCACCTCACTTCATGGGGACTTTTGTCTTTTCAGAGGCCATCACTGCCTTCCTGGGGACAAAGAAGATCCTCCTGGTGATGAGCATCCAGCTGCAGGTGAAATCCAAGTACGATGACTATATCCTGGTACGTGCAGAGTCCAGCCTGGGTTGTGCTTTCCCGGGTTCCCCAGGTGGCTGTTTCGTGGCCGCAGTGAGGGACAGGGGTGGTTCCCGTGTCACCCCAGTCCCCTGTGACACCAGTGTCCCTCTGCTTAGGTGCTGACACCCTGGAGAGCCTATGTGCTGCCGGTGACACTGCCGGTGAGGGTAAGTGCCGGGGACCCTGAACCGTGGCAGAGCCCTGTGGCTGCCGGGAGGGCATCTCTCAGCTCCTTGGGCCACCGGGGTGGGTGTCCTGTGGGTCACTTGGGCCACCAGGGTGGGTGTCCCATGGGTCACTTGGGCCACCAGGGTGGGTGTCCCGTGGATCACTTGGGCCACCGGGGTGGGTGTCCCGTGGGTCACTTGGGCCACCAGGGTGGGTGTCCCATGGGTCTCTTGGGGCCACCAGGGTGGGTGTCCCGTGGGTCTCTTGGGGCCACCGGGGTGGGTGTCCCGTGGGTCACTTGGGCCACCGGGGTGGGTGTCCCGTGGGTCACTTGGGCCACAAGGGTGGGTGTCCCATGGGTCACTTGGGGCCACCAGGATGAGGAGGAGGATGGGGTGACGAGGAGGGGGTTTGGAATCAGGGAGCTTGGGCAGTGGTTGGGACTTGGGGGCACCCTTGGCTCCCACTTCTACCTCAACGCTGGGGGCTTCTCACCCCCAGGTTCACAGCAGCTTCAGCTTCCTGGAGGTGAGGGAGATGACAGTGCGAGAGCCCAGCTTGGTGAGTGTCACCACCGCCCAGGGCAAACCCAGCCCTGGCACCCACCCCTCCTTGTGCCCACCTCCCCCCCGTGGCAAGCTCAGAGCCCACCACAGGCTCTGGGGGTGTCCTGTCCCCTCTGTTGCACGTTGAAGGTCACCACTGATGACCTGTGAGAGCTCTACGAGCTGTTTGTCCCTTTGTCGCCTCTAAAGAGATCCTCTGGTGTCCCCTCCTGGGGTATCCCCTGTGGGGCTGGGGGTGTTGAGGAGGTGCCTGGGTGGCAGCACCCGGCTGTGGCACCTCCCGCTCAGTGGGGACAAGGTGACAAACAGCTGCTGGCTTACCGAGGAGAAGCCAAATTTAGCAGGAGGGTGTTTTAAACCCTGTTAATCCTCTTAGCGGGGGGCGGGCTCGCGGGGCAGACACCGCCAGCGGGAGCCCGGGAGGAGAGGAACAGGGTGCCCCTGGCTCAGATGCATCAGCACAACCAGGGCCACCCTCCTCATCAACCCCTTCTGCTCATTAAAACACCAGCAGCGAAGGTGGCCCCAGCCTCTAAACAGGGTTCCTGCTGCTCGGCCGAGCTCCGGGAGGGAGAGGAATTAAGAGGAGTGGAGCAGAAAGCGAGGGGGGCTGGGGATTGGAGCCCCAGGGTGGAGGGTGAGCGAGAGGTCTGGCTGGGATCCGGGGAGCCCCAGGGGCTACGGGTGGATCCAGCAGGACCAGGCACCAGAGGAAGCATCATCCTCGCGTGTGCTGCCAGCAGATAATTGTCATCTCTCTCCCACGCCTCAATCAGCCTGTAATTAAATCAGGGAGCGTGTTGCCATGGGATTTTTTTTGGTTCCCCCCCC